GGTGGGCAGAGGGCCAATAGGGGAGGAAGGGGGCTCCCACCTCCTCCTCCTCACACTGCCCCTGAGCCGGGTGCCTGGGGCTGGGAGGGGGGCTCTCATCCCCACGCAGGCTGGTCTTGCCCTGGAAGGAAGGGGGTGGACACAGAGTTGGGACAGGCCTGAGCTGCGGGCCGGCTTCTCGGTTGACTGTGGACACTCACGGTGGCCTCCCCGCCATCCTGCTCCAAGCGCTCCTGCAGCTTTCGCTCCTTTTGACGCTGTGAGGATAAGGGTGACGATGACAGCATTGACTACACGGAATGTCCCGGGCCAAGAGCTTCAAGTGCTGGCTCACTCGATCTCTGCCACTCTAGGAAGCAGGCCTTCCCAGGGGAGCATGGCCCTCGTTTTACAGGTTAAGAAACCAAACCAGAAACAGAACAGGAGTCCCCAGCCAGAGGTCGCAGTGAAGAGGGAGGCAGGTTCAGGCCTAGTAGAACAGGGGACCCCAGAGCCCAGGCTGGAACCATCCTGTCATTTGGCTTCTAGGAAGATCTGCACCCCCCAGCCCCTGAGCCCATAGACCGTGAGCTCTCTCCAGTGCCCCATCCCCAGAGCCCCGTGCTCCCGCCCCTCCTGCCTCCCAGCCACCTTCTTCTTCAGCCGCTTCTTCGCTGCTTTCTGCTTCACTCGCTCCTCCTCAGCCACCAGCTCCTCAGCCAGACGGTTAGCTTCCTGAACAGAAAAGGTGAGAGAGAGAGAAAAGAGTGAGCGAGAAAACCAGAGGCAGGCGGTTGTGGAAAAGGCTTGGAAGGCGATGGAAACATGGGGCTGGAAGGATCTGGGGGAAGTGGCGCCCCTCCTGCCTCCGGAGCATCTTACCTCTTCAGTCACTAGGATCCTCTGGGGCATGACCACCTGAAGCAGACTTTCTGACTCACGGAGGAAGGATGCAGAGGTAGCGGGGCCTTGAGGCCTAGGCCTCGCCTCTTGGGGACAGGACAGAAAGGCCTTCTGGAGACCACAGTAGGTGCTCAGTCCCTTGGCCTCCTTGCCCCCTTCACTCTGCCCAGCTGTTTTGGCCTCATGGCGGAGCTGGTTCTGGACATAATCTGTCAGGGAGGGAAGGAGGGAGAGAGCAGGGGACTAGAGCGGGCCATCATCTTCAACAGGAGGGGGGGGATCCTGTGGGCACCAGCTTCAGCCCAGGGCCCAACCCTGCACTCCCCACCTTGGTGCCGCCCCTGCAGCCGCCTGCTGCTCCCCTCCTCGAAGCTCCAGTGCAGGCCGCAGGGACCTGGTTCCACCAGCTGTCCAAGAAAATCCACTCTGTCCTGGGGAAGGGGGAATGGAGGCTGGTGTTTG